TCTATCTAGATGAATCAGAGGGCAGTCAAGTGTAAACAAACAGCGAAGTCCGTTTACACCCGACCACCCATAGAGCAGAGCAGGCTCAGTGTCTGCTGTGCATAAACCAAGTGGACTTGGACCCATTGGACCTTTGCTCAGAGCAGGGGATCAGGAACAGATCAATCGGAGTCTACCTATGTGAAAGGGGCCTAAGACTGAAAATAGTGTAACAATGTCCTAAGTGGGAATTTTCCTCCTTCTTTGCAGAGGTTTCCTCTCACTTCCTGTTGTGTCTATGGGGCAGGAGGTGAAGGTTGATCTCCACAATGGGACACAGATAGCAGTAAAAAACACAAGTCTTAACCATTCCCTACTCTACTAAAATGCTTTGGCTAGGCATGCAATTTAGCATTGTAAAGACTGTGTAAAGCTTTACCTTCAGTTTTGCACAGTTGTACAGGCTACTGTCCTGTTTGGAAAATGTTTACTCTAGTTTCACTGCACACTGTGATTTTCTCACATTGTGCAGTAGAACATGCAGCAGGCCAGACAGAGTTTGCCTCATTTCATAGCTACAGGATGTCCAGCACCATCTAGTTATTTCCACTCCAGCTTCTCTGTCCCTGCCCAGCCCTATTCTTTCATTGAATTTAAATTATTTTAATCTTGAAAAGCTCAGCATCCCATGTGAGTGTTGCCTTGGGCGGTCTGCAAGCAAATTAAGACTGTCCAAAAACAGCAACTTCTCCTAACTAGAGATGAGAAGGTCTGGAAAAAAAACCCAGAAAAATTGGGGGGAAAATGTTTTTTTCCAAAGCATTTTTTTTTCTGGAAAAAGATGAAAAAAACAAAAGTTGTGTGGAATGCTTATGTTCTTTTACAATAATACAGTAAATAAATCTATGACATGGTATTCAAATTATATAACATGAAGACCTTAATGAAACATTTCTGAGACTTTATGTAAAGTCTTAAATTATTGCAAGTTCTCTCAGCTGAAAGCAAGCAAATTCTGGAATACAATTCAAGTAACACTTTCCATTTCAATGCAGTTCTCAAACAAGAGAAATATGCATTTCTTCCAATAGGGAGCACTGCAGGGGTAAGGCTCCAGTTTAATTTGCTTGTAAGCTCCATCTTATACCTCCTACAGTTGGGATTATTGGGACACAGTAGATGATAGTATCTATTCTCTCCGGCCTTAATTGAGAGGTAAGATGGTAAATTTGTCTGTCAAATTAGTTTCTTATTTAACCTTTAAATTATTCCTATTAATGTTCTCCACCATCACAGCAATAAAGTTTCCCTATAGTCGGTTTGGTAAATTGTTTTTTATTTTCCTCCTCTTAGTAAAATGGTGAAACTAACATCTAGCGTTTGAAAACATTTCGATAGTGCAATTTCTGTTGAGAGCAAAGCCGCAATTTGAAAATTTTATGTGAAAAAATATTCTTTTCCAAATGCTACAAGGATGACAAAACACATCCTGGCATGCCAGAGGTGGCCTAAAGACATTAAATAATACTTTATGCAATGAAATGATGATGACCAGAATGAAAGTGTAAGTAGCTTTTCCCTCCAGAGTTCTTATTCCAGAAACACTCTTTCTGCTGCTTCTGGATCATCACACATTTTAAAAAGCAAGTTTAGTTTATTTACTAAATAAGCTGTACTTTTACATCAAGCATAATACTTTTATATATACTGCATTTCACATTCCCAGATTTTCAATTTGTAAAACTATTACGCGCTAAATTTATTCTTCATTTTTTCCCAAAATTTTAAATTTTTCTGGAAAAAATGCATTTTTTCCCCATGGCTTCAACATTTCCAAAAATGTTACATCTCTACTCCAGACTGACATCCACCCATCAATGTATTATGCATAACTCCTTCCAACATCCAGCCTACTGTTTTTATCAGGGCTGAGGGCTCTTCACAGGAGTACTGAGGCCAGGGGCTGTGAGGTTTTGAGGAAGCAATGTATAGCACCCTTGCAGTCCCTCCCACCACTCATGATTTGATTGCATTGCATAAAGAAGCACAGAGACCCATCAATGACATCACTGGGTCTAAAATAGGGCATAGAACAAAAATGGAACCGTTTTATTTAAAATGTCATCAGCATACTGATATATGTGTATGTTGGGAGGGGAGGAGGGACTAAAAGCAGAATAAGCTTCAGCTTTAAATATATACAGCTGGTATACATGCCCACCTACCTGAGGTTTATAACATATCTACAACATAAGCAACATTCAAGCACCAGATGCAACATCCATATTCTCAGTAAGACAGCAGTCAACAATGCCTGCATTTCCCTAGACTACGTGTATATTCTCCTATTACTGATTAATCACTTGCAAATTGCGGCTGACATGTTTATAATCTTGTTCACCTTCAGGCTCTTTAAATTCCGGTGCCAGAGGCATTTGTAAACATAATTATTCACTTTCACAAACACAAATTGATTTTCATTACTGCCATTGAGTAGCCTGTCCTTTTTATCAATCACGATGCAGGATGTGTAAATGTTTAAGTTAGAGATGGAGAAATAATTTTGATGGTAAACAGATTATCCAGTGACATTTGTCACAATGTATTCCAGCTACAACCCTGGTTATAAGTTATTTCTGAAAGCGCCACATTTTATTTATTTTTGTATTAAAGAGAAGAGAAAAGCACAGAATTTATTTCCAAAATGTCTGCATTTGGGTTGACAGTTTGCAAGCATGTTTGTGTGCATTTTCGAAAATTAGTTTTCATGATTTGAGGATTGTTTTAATGCATTTCATGTTTATATCTAAACAGAGTCTTTATACGTTTTTATGTTAAAACAGGAAATGAATCTGTGCAATGTACATAATTTTATCAGTGCATGTTACAAAAATGTAATGTATGACTCCTGATCATGTGGCTCCTGTCCTTATATGTGATGACTGAATTAGTTTTCTTTTTGTAGGCTTTTTTGCCAGTAACACACTGTCCCAGGGCGACCATGCTCACTCATTATACTGTGTCTATGGAAGAGCAGCATTGCCACCCTGCTGCTGCTTGCTCCAAATTTGGACTGCGGAACACCTCAACCTCTTCTCATCTCCAGAACATAGGTAAAGGCGTTCTTTCATTCAAGAGGGTAGAACTAGGATGGTCCAGGAATTGCTTGGGATTTTAGTGAAGCAGAAGCAGAGTATACAGGAGGTTAGGAGCTCGCTGGATTTCTGCCTAGATCAAGTGTTATTTTTTTGTTAACACACTAGTAAAGACAAGATCTATTGCTTACAATCTTTGTCAGGACAAAAATTAACACCTCACAGAAACCCCCCTGCTGGCCCTTTAAAAGGACCTTAATGCCAGGAGGTAAAGGCAGGCTTCCTGATCATGTAATCACTATCATTGGCAGTCAAAGTGATCCCACTGGCTCCCAATTATAAACAGTGACAGAAAGTTGTTGGTGAAAGCTCAGTAATTGTGTTGGGGGTACACAGTAAGAATGTGTTCAGAACAGTACAAATCAGGGGCGGACTGACCAATTTGGAAACTCGGGCACTGCCCGAGGGGCCCGGGGTCAGTAGGGGGCCCCATGAGATGCCCCTCGTACCTTTTTCATAGGCTTTTTTGAGTTTGGGCAAGGACACAGGGGCCCCATGATCCCCTATTGCCTGGGGGCCCCATGAGTTGTCAGTCCGACCCTGGTACAAAGTTCCATGCATGCTTACCAGTATGCAACATTTCAGTATAATGTCCCATGCATGGGTACCTGTGGCAGCTCAATGTTACAGTCCACCATATATGCCCTATGCCACCAGCACCAGGTTAAAAAATTACATATGCATGAAAAATACCCATTGATGCTGGCAAAAATGAACTCAGCTTTTGAATTCCTGGGGTGGGCTGACAATATATTACCTTTATGGACTGAAATTGTGATGTAAAAAAGAATGGTGTCAGCCCTGCCAAGTTGTCATATGTTAAAATGCAAAAAAAAAAAAGAAGATCTGGGAGAGCTTATTAAGCACCTTCAGATAGCACTGGGGGGTGCCCAACTTAGAAGGACCTTTCCTTCATCTCTATTCTTTGACATTCAACAAAAATGTTTGGCTGTGTAGGATCTTATCATTGCATTTTTGATGGAAAGGGCGACAGCAAAATCCTCCCTCATACATAAAAGTACTGGGTATGTCACTGGGTTAATGGTGTGATGGGAGAGGAAGAACAAGGTAAGTCTCACCAGCTGAGAAGTTGAGCAATCACCTAAATCTGGCACATTTCCCAGAATGGTCTCCATTAAGTTACCTGCAAATGGACAAGACCTTTTTCTAAGATCTACACCTTCTTAGGCAATGGCAGCTAAAAAATCCATTGCACCCAACAAAATGATTATTCACACCTCCTTGAAGATGTCAATTCGTTCTTTCATGCCTTGAAAAGGAATTTCAGGGTCCTCAAGCACCCATACAATAAAACACATGACATATCACTCGCTCCACCAAACAGTCTTGAATCCCATGGACCATGAAGCACGGCTGGTAGCATTAATAATGCATTATTCATAATGCAGCATCGTTGTCTGTTTGTGATTCATACGCCTGTCATAATTTGTCACCGGCTTGTTGCACGACTCTGGAAAAACTCTGCACCACCTGTTATCAAACTCTCTCAAAAGTAATTCCCACTCAGCTTGCATCTGGAGGCCAAGATAGGAACGCAGATTGCTGGATTATGCACAAAGCTTTGCAGGCATTAGACAAATCTATTTTTAACATTTCTATTTTCACCCAGTTAAAAAAAGGGGGGGGGGATGATTATTTCAACGTCAAGTTTTTAATTTATCCGAAACATTTGTTCCATATGGCTAGTCGAGGGGAAAAATGCAATTATTATTAACTAGGATTAATGATTAGCGGAAACGTGGATTAATAATTAGAAGGAAAATCAGGACGCACATTGGAAGACAACAAGTAAACAGGATAGTGCGAGGCTTATGGAGACTGTCGTGTTTAATTACAAATATTTACCCAAAGCAGAAGCTGTACATGTCCCTCCGTTCAGGCAGTAATTAGTGCAGTGGTTCATCTCACATCTTTCTCCGGAGAAACTGGGCCAGCAGTGGCATCTTAGAGCGCCCTTCTCATTTATTATACATCTGCCGCCGTTTTCACAAGTCAGTTTGCATAAGTCATCTGCATTGTGACAAAGAAAGAATGGCGTCAAGCTTCAAAAAAAGTTTTCTAAGATAAAGCTGTGGTTCTGTAAAAAAGTCTACAGTATTTAAAAAAGGTTCTCATGCAAAATTCGAACAGATTTCCCCCCATTTTCCTAATTCGATTCAATTGAAAAAATGTGGGACTCTTTGGAGAATGTTGTTTGAAAACCAGTATAAATAGAGCCCAAAGAGTTCTTCCATTTATGTTCTAAATGTTCAGTGGTAAAAAAAACATTACTTGGGTAAGTATAGAACTGTGCATATTAAAATTTTGCATCCAGAAGGTGGCAAGTGCTTGTCCTGTGTTCCAGGGTTTCAGTGTGCTGCTTTATTGCTGTGCTGCGTATGAACCTAAACATACTCAGAGGAAGGACAGACCCCCGTATCCCCATCTGTAGAGTCAGACCATAGATTATTTTATGCTTGCAGCTGTTCCTTCACTGCCATGTCATAGGCTGGGGGCAGGGAGGTGATCTTGCTCCACTGCTAAATGCACCAGAAAAACATCAGGTCACCAGATTGGCTGTTGGAGAGTAGAGATGAGCCAAATGTACCTCGGCTTGGTTCTAGGAAGGTTCGGCATACTTTGCTGGTTCCCAAATCTGAATCCTATTGAAGTCAATGGGAGCCAAAAGTTTAAAAAATACCGTAATTTTCTAGGCTAAAATCTGTTTCTCAGGGAGCAGCAATTTTATCAATGCTGAAAGTGAAACATTAAAAATGCTAAATTCCTTTAAATAACATGCTTGGGGGATGCCCTTACCCTTCCTATGAAGTGGCACATCTGTATACAACCTACTATAGCAAGTCTGACACTAAACATAAAGGAAAAAATGCAGTTTAAATTTCTGGGAAATTACTTTGCCAGCTTTGTCTACTTTACATTTTTTTATAAACAAAGTGGTGGAGATTCTCTTCACCCATACCAGACCCCAATCCTAGATAAGTATCTGGTATAGATGAAAAAGATGAAACAATGGCATTGGGTTTCCCCTAAAAATACATACCAGTCCCCTATCCATTGGTCAATATCATTGGCAAAGATGGCTATTTATCTATTTTTGGTCAGTGATGTCAGCGCTATCCCCCCCCCTTTTGTTCCTTGCAAGTAAATAAATGGGACTGGGTGACATGACTGGTTGCTAAGGACATGGTGGTTGCTGGCACCTGCCTCTTTTCAACAACCATTGGCAGGAAAGAAGCTATCATTTATAGTAACTGTAGAACTACCACTACTATAAACAACCACAAAGTCCATTGTTTTGATGGAGGCCCAAACAGCCAAAAAATTCAAGGACATCATCTCTCAAATTTTTATTTCAACTGTAATTTATCGGTTTACCTGAAATCAAGCTTTTCTTCTAACAGCAGTGAAAATGGTCAAAGCCTACATGTCCAAAGCAGAAATCAAAATGTAACCATTACTAACCTGCATAACTCTGATCTGTGCATGTTCCGTTCACTAGAACCTTTCCTTCTGGACACACACAGGAAGCACCGGTGGGATTCAACAGACAGATGAACTCACATTTGAAATCCAAACAAGGGTTCGGCACTGTTGGGAAGAAGCAAACAGGAAGTCAAGAGACAACATTTTTCAAAAATTTACAGTACCTAAAATGAATCAGCCTGGGAACCAACACCTACAAAACCAAATTATAAGTGGCAGGTGGAATATTTCAACCCTGACAGTCATTTTCATCTTTCCTGACAGGTAAGTCACTAATACAAATAGGTGTACTGTATACTGTATTAGGTGTGCTGGTGATTTACTGGCTGCATGTTTCTTTTAGGTCAGTAACTAAGTAATAAATCAAGTATAATTATGCCTTGGTACTTGCATCTTTAAACATACAGTATGTCAGTAATGGCAGCTCTTACATACAGTATATGTCTTGATGGTTTGCCTGTAATTATGTTGTGGTGCTAGAGAATAGATGAAACATATTTTGAGAATAAGCTGTCAAGAAAGATATGTCAGAACTTTTTTTTCAAGATCATTATAACAGCTTTTTTCTAAGAAAGTCGAATTTCAGCTACTTAAAACTAAAGGTCATCAGGTATATACGTTGACTATTACTATATTCAGCCAATGATATTTATGTCTATAAGTAAGCTATGTGGGCAAAAATTTTGGACACCTGACCATCACCTACACCTATATAAGCTTGCTGGAAGGGACATTAATATACAAAAGACCCCCTTTGCGTCCTTTTTATTCCATAAAGGCTTTATTAGAGAATAGAAGTATTACATGTAGTATAGAGCACATGTATCAAAGTGATACGGTACAAAATAGCATTCCAAGAAGCAGTGTTTGGGTCAATGGTAAGGGATGGGTCAAACCCAACGAGCTTGAAATGCAAGCAACCCCGCATACTATACTTAACAGTCTACAACTAATGAACAATGAGTAGTGGATAATAAATGACCACATAGCAGGTGGAATTATGGAGCACAGGTAATTAGAAGAAGGAAAAAACTAGGAGCGAAGGTCAGTAGAACCTCTAGGTGATTCTAGGTTCCAAGGAGGAAGTATAGGAAGGGTGTCTGTGGGAAGTTTAGTCCATTCACCCAAAATAGCTTTTGTGAGGCTGAATGGACCTGGTTCACAATTGGCATTCCAATTCATCTCAGAGGTGCTTAGTATGGATTGAGCATGACTCTACATAGGACAAGACTCTAGGACAGACTCTACACAGATCCCCCACATCAGCCATGTAGGTAGTTGGCTTTGTACACAAGGGCACACTCATGCTAGAACACAAAAAGACTTTCCTCAAACCATTGCCATAAGCTTTGAGGTCCACAATTGTCTAAAATGACTTCACTAGAAAGACCTGAGCTCAGTAATTTGAGCATACCATATTTTTGGCCATATAGTGTAGCAATGGACATCCCAGGCTAATAACTGTATTTATAAGTGTGTCCTGTTGCAAAGGAGAGGGGCAGAATGTCTCAGCACACAAAAAAATCTAACCTCAATCTAGCTGTGAATCCCTCTCCTCTGTTCACCATCATATCAATAGCTAATATAAGTAAACAATACTCCTCATTTATTAAAGTGTTTGAAGGAAGGACTATTTGGGTTTCCACAGTAGCCAATCAGATCCTCTCAGTGAAGGCTGGAAGAATGGAAAGGAACCATAAGCTGGGGGCATGGCGACTGCCATCCAAGATGGCAGCATGAATCCTTAGCTCCGTACACCTTCTGGGGAATGCAGCACATCCATGCATCCCAGAACACCATACATCACTCCCAGAGGCCTATTCATCTCCTGCTCTACCGAGGATGTCCCGATGGTGGCTAGAGGAGCCACAATTCTAAAAGCTATCCAATTTCTTTACTCCGGTCCGTAAAAGTCTCCAACAAAACGGACTCCACTCCAGCAAGTCTGTGGATGGACCTGTAGCAGCGGCCACCTTTATATTTCTTCATGCAGAGGCGGATGCAGTGGGACACACAAAAAATGGTGGTGGATTGGCCCCAACCTCTCCAAGCACTAGGAGCCCAGTCAAGTCACTCCCCAGAAGGGAATCCTCTTTTGTGACACCTCACAATTCATAATAACACACTTACTTTTTCATACAAATGTCCCTTAACTTGTTGTCAATCAATGCCCAGGGCTTAAACCACCCCTACCAAGCGATACTCCCTTTGGAAAGAAGCTATCAAAGTCAAGGCGGATGTTGTCATTGTTCCAGAGACACACTTCAAAGCATCCGCAGCTCTGAAGTGTCAACATAAAGACTTCCTTTTTAATATTGGATTCTACATCCAATAGGAAAGCTTGCATTTCCTCTCTCTCTATTATGTTAACAGGAGACGTGTATGGTGCTTGCAGAGTATTACATGCCTCAGAGTGAGATTACACGTATAACTCTCCAATATTTAACTCATATTCACATATTGATCTTTTCTTTGTGGACAAATGGTTATTACAAAGGGTGTCCTGCTCTGATATCGCCGACATCACGTGGTCTGACCACGTAGCTGACTCTATCATGATATCAGAGCAGAACTACCACCCAAATTTGGTGTGGCGTTGCAACAACAAATTCATTTAAGAATCTGCGTTGAACAATATGCTCAATCAGCATCTCCATGATTACTTTGCCATCAGTGATACACCTGATATTTTTGTCCTTTGGAATGCATACAAGGCTTTTGCGTGGGGCATCTTAATCCAGTTAGGTGCTCAGGCCAAAATACTTTTAATCCTTGACTTTACAAAAAGTGCTCTCTGCATTACGTGACCTAGAGCGACACAACAAGTCTAAACCAGTCACACATATGACTTCCAAGATTGCTAAGCTCTGTCTGGAACTACACACTCTCTTACAGGTCAATCATTAAATTAAGCTGAGGCAACCTAAACTAGGGTACTATGCCTCCCACAACAAAGCTGGAAAATGACTTCCATACTGAAAGCACACAGAAAGGAACCATAAACTGTCAGGTACCCCTAGGTAATGAATATGACTGTTTTAAGTGAACAATGTTTGTGTCTGTAAGTTGCAGCAGACAACCCTAAGGCTGCTTTCACACTGCCCCATTGCAAAAACAAGGTATATACACATATGCATGTTTTTCCTTGTTTCTGGAGTGTTCTCTGGTTGCCTGACATCAGTCTGTACCTGTGGAAAAAGGGCATGTGGCTCAAAAGATGCACCAAAAACGCAACCACAGGCGCATTTTTGATGCATTTTCCATTCATTTCATTTGGCAGGTGCATCGCTGGTGCATTTTTTTTTACTGCACCAAACATGCACCAAAATGCAGCATGCAACTGACCTACAACTGACTGGTGTGAAGAGTTCCATAGAATTTAATGGTCACACATTTTTCTTCCATCTTTTTTGCAAGACAACTTTTTTTTTGTTTTTGTTTTTGTGTGTGTATTGGGATGTGTCTTCCCCTTTTCTTTGCAACATAAAACCCAACTGAACTTTCAGTTTGAATCAGCAAAATGCATTCCATCTGTTTAAAATGTTAGTTCACCTTTACAAAAAAATGGCCTATACAGGTGAGGGGTGTCTGTAGATAAAAACAATCTGTACAGCTTTGACTAAAGTTGAATAATGCTCTTGCTATAGTTTATGTACCTCATGAAGCCTGAATGGAATACTCCCAGGACATTGCTAGGATGTTGCTAAGTGAGGCCTAGTCATTATTGCTCACCTCCACTGTCACTGTCTGAGGAATACTCAGGAGGAACCGGAGTTTATGTTCTTTATAAACAGCCGCAATCTGTTTTAATCCGCAATCAGGAGTAGAAAAGCCTGTCCTGCCAGCATGCTGTATAGACAAACCCTTGCTTTCTATGTGGAAGAGGTGAGCTCAATGCAAGATTCAAACAAACCCCATGCTGAGTTATGCCTATAGCTCAGAAATCAGCAAAGCTCATACACTCTGCTGATTGGCGAGATCTAGCTGTGACTCAGCAGGGGACATACTGGACCTCTACAAAGAGACCACTGCTTCCACACAGAGAAGGGGTTCCAACTCTGCAGCATGTTGGCAGGGGGCAGGCTTTTCTACTCATGCTGTGACTGTTTTACAAAGAAAACCACCTGTAAGGCTTTGAATACCTTTTGTTTTAATGCACCTGGAATATATTTAGCCGATATTAACGAGTTCAGCTGGGTTTGAATACACACATACATGATCACGGGATGAAACCATCATGTCTCTGGACAGCATTTGAGAACAATATCCCTCTATATCATTAGTGAACAGATATGGAAACATTTGTTATGTTTCAAATTCATTTGGTAAGGTAATCGTTTTGTTACATCCTATTTACTATTTTAGAATGATTCATTTACAGAATTTGTTTAGTATATTCTAATTGTTTTTTTTCATTTATTTTGGATTCAATTTGTATATTTAATTCAAATTCGATTTGAATTTGAACTTTGGAAGCCGGCTATATTCGACTTAATGTGTTATTTTGTTAATTTAGGAGATAATATTTATGCACTCTGTTTGGTTTGGATGGTGGTGGATTCATCAGAATCTCCAAATCATAACAAAATGAATAAAATGAAATGAATTTAGAATTCGTTTGTAATTGTTTGATTTGGAGATTTTGATTAATCCACCTTAATCCAACCCAAACACAATAAAGACCCTCCTTTCACAATGATCAGTTTTTGATCAGTGTTTCAATTAAAAAAAAGCGGAAGAAAAATGCATGAAAAATGCATTCCTTTAAATCCTATGGAACTAATTGCCCTTGCGTTTCAGTGACATTTTTAGGCTGCTTTCACTCTCCTCTGTTGGAAAAATGTGGCATGAATGTTTTTCATGCATTGTTCTTCCATTTTTTAAGTGAAAATCTGATAAAAAAAACTGATCAGTGTACAAGGGCCCTAAACGCCCTGCTTGCTGCATTTTTCATGCATGTTTCGTGCAGTAAAAAAAAAAACCGCACCAAAAACAAACCACTCCATTGAAATGAATGGAAAAAGCCACAAAAAGGCGTTAAAAACACAACGCACTTGTTGAAAGTGCTTTGTCCAATCACGTGTCCAAGGGAAAAATGCAAAACAACTGTAGCAAGCCACATCAAAAAAAGCACTGCAGCACAAATGCAGTAATAACATATCAAAAAAGCATAAGCATTTTGCAATGGGGCAATGTGAAAGCAGCCTAAGTAGGAATCATCATCTTCCTTCACTTTTATATCTTACTGTATTTATTGCAATATGTTTGCATTTTTCATTTTCAAATTTAAATTCAAATTCATTTTTTGAATTTGGATAATTCATTATTTCATTACATTATTTTGTTTTGTTACAATTTATTTTGGATCTGTTGAAATTCGTTACTATTGTGATTCAGAGATTTGGATACATCCGAAACTCCCAACAATGAAAATTTTGTCCGAATTAGGATTTGTAATGAAATGAATCGCACATTAATTAATTAATCAACGAGGGAAGAATTATGTGTGTTGCCCTCAGCTGACAATTAACAGTTTTGGTGAATGAAAGGGAAAATTTGATTGGTTATTATGTTACAAGACAAACAGAGCCAATGTTTCCCTTATACAATATAGACAAAAGCCGTACCTTTATTATCTTTTTGCTCTTTATTTTCTTATACCAGCAATATAATCAGAATTATACTTACTGTGCGGCTGTTTGTAATGATGTGTAATTAAGACGCTTTTTGCTTTCTCCACATTCAAGTTTAAAAACTCCATGGTGCCGTTGCCAGACTTCTGTATTCTAAATGCACCGTTTTTAAGACCGGCTCCATAAATGTAATCCTCAAATATGTCTATTCTGTGAGGGTACATCAGTCCTGTGGGAGAGAAAGGCATATAAAGTCAGCCACTAGGCTGTTTATTAAGAACATAAAATCCGACGGGGCTTTGACCAGTGGGTGATGCATGAGGATGTTTGTTAAAATGTTTTACAACTCAGCTGTCACTCCATTTTGTTTTATGTCCCCTATAACCACCACAGGCATCACACAGCGAGACCTCCAAGGTTTACACTTTTTTACATCCCTGCTCAAAACTTAGTCCAGCAAAAAAAAAAAAAAAAAGGTGTTACAAATTCAGTTTCAAAGAACCAAAAAAAGATCAAATGCTGTTAATTACATTTATAGATTTGCTGCAAACAAGTGGAAATACCCACCTGTACAAAAATTGGCATATTGGTTATATCAGGATCAGCTTTATTGAACAAATTTGTACGAGGGATTTGTTTTCAGTTTACAATGGCTGTTTACGTAGTGATTATGGTAAAAAAAAAAATATTCTTGGCCATTCATAGGGAAGTTTTTTTGTACAACCAGTGGTTTGAGCAAAAAAAAAAAAACTGACCCAATTCTCCCATCTACACACTTGATTTGGATGCTGGAATCCTCCCCACTGTGTTATTGGGGTTTACTAAAGGCAAATAGACTGCACTTTGCAAGTGCAGTTGCTTCAGAGCTTAGTAAATGAGATAAGGCTTCACTTTGCAAATATTAGCCAATCGCATTCAAGGAAAATTAACAAAAATTAAACAAAAAACTGCATTTGTGCCTGCACCTGATTGGATGATGGAAGTCAGCAGAGCTTCTGCTCATTTACTAAACCCTGGAGCAGCTGCTCTAGCAGAAAAGTGCACAATCTATTTGCCTTTGGTAAATTAACCCCATTGTATTCTGACAGCTGGGAGACTCCCCTGATGTCAGAAAACACAGATCAGCATTACAGCCTATAGTCTGGCAAATGGACTGAATGACCCAAATATCTCATTGATAGCAAAACTCAGTGGGAAACAAAAACACTCACAAAAGGCAAAGTAAACTAGGCAAATTAAGCTACATTCACACCTAAGCGGCACACTTTTCTAGGGTTTTTTTTAAAGCACTTTTGAGCATTTTTTTGGAACAGAATTGCACAATTTGCAGCTTTAGTCAGGAGTTTTTGTCCAGACGTTTTTCAACTAAGCTTTTTATGTGGCCAATTGAAAGCTAAAACAGGGGAAAAAAAGCTGCTGTTTGAGCTGAACACAGGCGGCAAAACGCTCCAAAAAAATGCTCATGTCACTCTTTTCAGATGTTTCTGTCCAAATCTATAGAGACAAAAATGCTCAATTCTGCCTGAAAAGTACCTCATGTACTTTTTTGAGTGACAGACAATTTTCTAAGCAAAAGAATGCTCAGATGTGAACAAGGGCTATTGAAAACAATACGTTTTTGCTTGTTGAGCATTTTTGAGCTTCAAGCTACAAAATGCTTAAGTGTGAACAGGGCCTTAAAAAGGTATAAGAACATCAAACAAAAAGGTGTCCAGGGAGGGAGGATGGGGGAAACTTGTCCAATGTTGGTAATGCTCCAACTGATCCTCCAAAAAGACCCTTACTCCTCTCCTTAAACCAAGAACTACCCATTTAGCCCTCCCCCTCATCATGTAAGGGCCATATTATTTTTTATAAATAAACCCACTAAAACCTTGCCCAACACCACCTCTCCTGCACCAGTCATATGGGCACTGAGTATAAAAAAAAAAAAACATCTGTCCCTTTTTGAAGCCATCTACTGAGTTGGTTAGTAAAATTCATAGTAAATATTCCAAAAATATATTTTTTGGCGTTTAGACTAATTCTGCTTTGACATACCTTGTTTATTAGTGACCACCATCATGGAATCGGAACCATCAAGTTTCACAGTGCCAATAACAGACAGTTCAAAGTCTGCCCAGTATAATCTCTGCCCGAAATGGTCAACGACAAGGCCTGGAGAAAAACACATGAAAAGAGTTACTTCAGAATCTTTGTATATTTTACAGGAAATCAAAATAATTAATTCAAACTGAAGCAATTTGGCAAGAGAAAAATGTATTCCAGGTCACAGTGGGTCACTTGCTAGCTGCTAAGTTATGCACAGCGCTGTGCACTCAGCCACTCTGTCCAAGACCGCGGTGCAGCAAATTGCATTTGTTTTACTTTTGTGTTCTGAAGGAATATTTCCTTTGATCTCGTGAAAATCCAGTGAACTCTGGCTCCTAATAATAAAACACAAGCTGTTTGTATTCTGTAAGATTTGTACCACACCGCAGTGGGGAACTATGTGTTGGGAAAGTTAAAGCCGGCATCCTTCCTAATAATGGGTTTATCTGAAATAAATTCTGGTGGATCAACTTACAGTCTACTATATTTTTTTCGGAAAACAAAACATTCTTTTGAAAGTTTACAAAAAATGAAGCAGAAAAACTTCAAGCACAACTGAGCTCATGCGGAACTGAAAACAAGATGCTTTGATCTGCAGAGAAATGACAATGAAAACATAAAGGAAACATAAAGGTGAACTCTAGTTATTTTAACAGTTTTATGCATCTACACATAGTGGTCAGCTTGACCAATTGAGTACCATCCTGCAAATATCCCTTCATTACCAGGCAAATTTACAGTTTTTGGTGCTTTGATAGTTTGACTTACAATTACGCAATCATGCAAATCTGTACCTAAATGAACTTTATATAAGTTTTTAGGCAAATGTGACTTTCTTTTGATGGAATTTGATGGACAAAGGGTCAAACATTTTGAAAAAATGTATTGTCCTGGCATTCTTAATAAATATATTTTATAAGTGAAGGTAAGATAAACATTTCTAACATTCATAAAATGACCCTTGAGATCACAAAGGCGATCTCATCTTTTGATACAATTTTTTGCAAACATGCATAGAATGTAATGTTCCTCTCTCTCAGTTCAAGTCTACAAGTCAAGTCTGACTGAATAATAAGAACAGATTTTCTCCAACTTTAGGGAACATTGCATTACTGGTGACAACCACTCTTAGCTCCTCTCAAGTCCAACTAAGGCTCTCCCTCTTCCATTTATTTACCTGCTGAGCCCAATTTCTAATTTCCACTGGTGTGCAGCAACTCAACATACTGGTAATGAAATGGCTGCACTCAAACTATTTACGTGTTGACTGGAAAATTGTATAAGTACTTAAGGGGTGTCTTTATTTTTCCCAGAGTTGACCATTAAAGAGAAACATCCAAGAATGGGTTTATGCAAGGATCTGACAATTCTTTCTAAATTTAATTGTGCAGGCTTACTTAAGAAAGATTTATATTAATCCCTTTGTTTAGGTTTAATTTTTTGGCTGCAAAGGCTGGGGGTCAGAGCCCACCTGAAGTCTTACACTCATTACCATGTCAACTGTTTGGCTGGCTGCAACATCTGAGGTCAGAGTTCACCTGAAGTATAAAACCCATTTCCATGTCACTTGTTTGTCTTGCTGCAAAGCCTTGGATCAGAGTTAAGCTGAAGTCTGACACTCATTACCATGTCAGCTGTTGGCCTGCTGCAAAATCTGGGGTCAGAGCTCACAAGAAGTTTGCTGCCAAACAAGTGACATGGTAATTGGCATCAAACGTCTTGTGAGCTCTGACCCCAGATTTTGCAGCAGGCCAACAGCTGACATGGTAATGAGTGTCAGACTTTAGCCTGACTCTGATCCAAGGCTTTGCAGCAAGACAAACAAGTGACATGGTAATTGGCATCAAAGTCTTGTATCAGAGATGACCATGTCAGTTGTTTGGCCTCACTGTTCCAATCTATGAGTATGCATGACATTTCCTTGTAGTTGTCTGTGTTCCTCTTGAACATAAGGTACTACCTTTTGATACTATTAGCTGTGGCTGAGGTCAAGCAGTTGATGCAAGTGCAGTGCAGCAAGTGTCAAACCTCAGATGACCTCTAACCCCTTACTTTTCAGCTGAACATTCAGATTCAGATAAAATATGCAAATCTAACTAAAGCATTTATAAAACTTTCATAAGCAAGCCTATACAGTAATTTAAGATGGAATGTATAAATTATTGCGAAAGCCCAAAACATATATCCATGTCAATTGATGCCTTAACTTATTTAAAAAAGGGAACAGACTCCCTATTAAAAATCAACCTGCCAAAGTACAAGTCTTGCATTCTTTGACAGCTGTGACAGCTCCAGTATATTCAATATGTGAATTGTGGAGCTCGGCATCCATCAGCTGTCACCACAGGACACCAATAACCTTAAACCAATGTCAGCTAGAAAAGACAACTGTACCTCCATAACCTTAACTTGATTTCGATAAGCAGGTGATTATCTGTGCTGACAAACGATAGACTCATTTACACTGCAGGGGTCCAAAACTCAACCACTATCACAAGCTATGAAGAAATATTTCCATTTACCAAAGTCCAAAGTTCAGACAGACAATCTCCTGAAGAAACTGGCCTTTTGTGTTGGATCTCCTGAACCTCTCCAAACGACAACATGCAGAGCAATCCGTAAAACAGTCATTTTCAGAAATTTTGGGTGCTAAGCATATGATTCAACTCAATTTTCATACTTTTACACTAGTCGTGCATGGAGCATCAAAGCTGTCTTCTAGCCTAATCAAAATATACTAGTATTAAGACAGAGCTGTTTTTGAAAATCAACTCTTATTAACATTCTGAAGTCAATTTTTGAAGGTGGAAAGGCTGCTAATACTGTATGCATTGAGGGTCAAAAGGTTGTGTTTATTCCCCAGCCCCACCTTTGCATTAGCTTGACTGACATATGACATGGAGCAGATCTACTGGCTCAGAGAGAATACTTTTTTCCTAATTTAGGCTGGATTCACACTAAAGCTTAATAATTTTTAGGCAATTTTCAGAATTTTTTATGCACATAAACATAAATATTTCAGTAATTGAGATGCACATTGAAGCTTTCAGTGTTTTTGGCCAATGATAAGTAGTAGGGAGAGACCAGTTCTGACAGTGTACAGGCATTCCCATTCAAATCTATGGGGACAAAGTGCCCAATTATGTGATGTAGTTTTTGGAGCATTAGTTGTTGAGCTACAGGCACCTGAGCGCTCATATTTGAATGTCCATCATTTAGATACATTATATGAAGTTTTGTTTGCCGAGAGCTCTTTAGTTTTGACCATCAAGGTACAAAACGCTCAAGTATGAATGGGGCTCTATAGGCTTTTTTTTGTTATTGCATGACGACGATAGTTAATTGCCTTGCCAACATTACATTTTAGCAATAGCAAGTGAAAGTAACAGTCAAATAAACTGAATAACAACCTTTATGGCAAACAACTTTGCTATCCTTGTGCCTTACAACTGTTTGAAATAGGGGGGCCACTTAATCAGAAACACATTTTCTCTCTGAAACCTCTTCTAAGCTGACAACAGCAAAAGTCCATACAAACAAAGCTTAGCCAAGTTCTCTTTTAAGGCATCACCAGTCTTAAGACAGAGACAATTATTATATATTGTAGCAGATTTTTTTCCTGCTACTATACATGACAGATTCCTTCTTACACTGTAACTGTCAATGGTTATTAAGGAAGCAGTGGGTGCCAGCACCTGCCATGTCTCTAACCAATGGCATCACAGGCCCCAGTAATTTATTTCTTGGAAACCCCAGCTATGTAAATAAAGTGGACAGGAAATGAAAAAAAAAATAATGGGTGTCTAGTATGAATTTTAAGGCTGACCCGAAAATAAATAAATAAACGGCATGATGTTCCTCCAATTTCAGATACCGATGATGTTCATTCACAACAAAATAAGTAAACGGTAAATAAAAACACATCCATCATCAATCACATCATCCAGCGATGCAAATCATGTCAATCACGATAAATGACGTCCACTGACCCACCAAAAAGAAAAAAAACAGCCTACTGCCAACACGTCTGATCCCGAAGACTACTCATCATCATCAATGACAATGATCATGACAGCTCCGATTTAATGACAGCTGATATAAACAACAGGGTCTCCAAGGTGACTTGATTGTCCAAATATATAACTAATGTCACATTATATTTTTCCTACCACAGTACTATTGTACTTTGTGAAAAAATACAAAGGATGTGGATGAATAACAATAATTGTCTTCTGTGCTTTCTTCCATGTGAAACCTGTAATCTAAAATCTGAACTCCAGGCAACTGAAATGCATGCACAGAAACTTTTATTTTCGTTCATCCAATTCTAATATATACACAGCTCTGCCAGACAGCACAGCCCTGTCTGGACCAGAGAGGAAGAATTATTTTTATTCTTTTGTGGTTCAGTAACACTTACAGGTCTTGTCCCCCCCCAGCCTGTGAGCGGACAGTGAAAGGAGAATCAACATGGTGATGATATCATTCTTCTGTCACTCTGCTGTCTAATAGTATGCTCTTTACAGAGCAGCACAACCAATTGGCTGATGGCAAGTCAAAGTCACATACATGCACTGCTTGCATTAAAAACAAACAAGAAATGAATTATGTAAATAAATTATGCATTAATTAATATTAGTTGCATTAACTTGTCTTCTTCCTGTAATTCAGCTTTAAATAGATTAAACTCATACTGAATTTTGCAAATAAATCAGATACCTGTTGGCCTCTCCAAGTTTTTTTTGCACCAATATTCTTCTTAAAGTCCCGTCCATTGCTGCCTCTTCAATATGTGAGTGATCCCCAATAACTGTCCAGTACATCATCCTTAAGTTGGACAAAGACAAAAAAAAAGAGAAAATGCAATGATTTAAACAAAGAAAGGAAAAATATAAAAAAACAAAATACTAGAGATTCACCCAGCAGAATCAGACCAATAAATGCTTCTAATTGCTGTGGGACAGTTTAATAGCAACATACAGTAGTTGTGCACTCATATGCCAACCTGTAGTATATAAATGGCAGTGTGTATAATATGGTATGAACTGATTAGAGATGAGCGAATCGAACCTGGCGAAGTGGAATTCGTTTCGAATTTCAGGAAAAATTCGATTCGCATCGAATCCGAATTTTAGCAAACTTCGGGTGCACGAATCAAATTTTTCCCGATCAGCCGGCAAAAGTGTCACTGCAGAGAGCTCCGCTATTTCTGACAGTTCTGACAGTTCATTTACAGCGGTTGAAACATTGTATCTATTTGTTTCCATTTAGGATACAGATATTTTTATTCGGAAATAAATAGATACAATGTTTCAACCGCTGTAAATGTGAAGGAACTGTCAGAGAACTGTCAGAAATAGCGGAGCTCTCTGCAGATACACTTTTTGCTGTACTGGAATACTTCTTCTTTTCATTCTTCTTCTTTTTTTCATTCTTTTTCTTCTTCTTCTTCTTCTTTTCATTCTTCTTTTCATTCTTCTTCTTCTTCTTTTCATTCTTCTTCTTCTTCTTTTTCATTCTTCTTCTTCTTTTCATTCTTCTTCTTCTTTTCTTCTTCATTCTTCTTTTCATTCTTCTTCTTCTTCTTTTCATTCTTCTTTTCATTCTTCTTTTCATTCTTCTTCTTCTTCTTTTCATTCTTCTTCTTCTTCTTCTTTTCATTCTTCTTTTCATTCTTCTTTTCATTCTTCTTCTTCTTCTTTTTTTCATTCTTCTTTCTTCTTCTTTTCATTCTTCTTTTCATTCTTCTTCTTCTTCTTCTTTTCATTCTTCTTTTTCATTCTTCTTCTTCTTCTTTTCATTCTTCTTCTTCTTCTTTTCATTCTTCTTTTCATTTCTTCTTCTTCTTCTTCTTTTCATTCTTCTTCTTCTTCTTCTTTTCATTCTTCTTCTTCTTCTTTTTCATTCTTCTTTTCATTCTTCTTCTACTTCTTCTTTTCATTCTTCTTCTTCTTCTTTTCATTCTTCTTTTCATTCTTCTTCTTCTTTTCATTCTTCTTTTCTTCTTCTTCTTCTTTTCATTCTTCTTCTTCTTCTTTTCATTCTTCTTTTCATTCTTCTCATTCTTCTTTTCATTCTTCTTTTCATTCTTCTTCTCATTCTTCTTTTCATTCTTCTTCTTCTTCTTTTCATTCTTCTTCTTCTTCTTTTCATTCTTCTCATTCTTCTTTTAATTCTTCTTTTCATTCTTCTTTTCATTCTTCTTCTCATTCTTCTTTTCATTCTTCTTCTTCTTCTTCTTTTCATTCTTCTTCTTTTCATTCTTCTTCTTCTTCTTCTTCTTCGTCGTGCCCCGTGACTGCCCAAATGAGTGAAGTGTGCGGTGATTCTAAGATCGACGGCACTCATCTGCATGTCATACTGACTGACAGTATTATTTCTCTTCCCCAGCAGACTCCAAGGGCATTTAAATTAAAGGTACAGTGTTCTGCACTAATATAAAGGCTCTCTGAAGCCTAAAAACCCTTTAAATAAGATAAATTCGCATTGAATTGAATTTCTCCCGCAAATTCGGCGAATCAGCCGAATCGAATTTTTGAATAATTCGCTCATCTCTAGAACTGATGCCTGAAAAGAAAATAATTATAAAAGGAACAACAGATTTTGGTTACTCCTGGCAATATATTGTCTGAGTGTGATCTACTTTCTGAGTGTGATCTATTTTTTTATATAATGTAATTATTATAGCCCCAAGTCCTCAATATGTTCAGTGCATTGAAGATGAAAAATCTAGATACACCTGAAGACCTGCAGTGTATAAACCTCCAACCAGTAATCAGACTGGCAGCACTGACATGAGAAGAGAAGCCCTTCCTCTACCAAGATGGCTTCCTTCACCAAGAGACAAAGTGCAGAACAAGGCATTGTAAGTCCTTAGTGGGAAAAGGTCAGCGGCAGGAAGTCTACAGGCAGCACCATTGACAAGATCTTTGCTCTGGCCTTCCTTTTTTTTGGGCCACCAATGGGTTTTCTGGTCCCATTTATCTCATTTGAATTAAGGCTACAGATTATGGCTCTAGTAGGCTTCTGTGACTTTAATTAGAATAGAGAGACTCACAATGCCTTACGTTAAGCTGATACAGTAAAACAAAGGAGTATAATTGATACAGTGACTAAACAATGCAGAGAATTATTTAGAATGAAAGTCTAAACCATTTTAGTTTTGGATACAGTAGGGAAAGGTTAAAACCTCATTTTTTTTCCTAGTTAACCCTTACTTTTATTGAAGTTTTAAGGCATAACAGTAAACATTTAGAAATCTTTGTAGTTTACATGCAGGTTTAACCTTACTTTCATTGTACCTGACGATTCCCATTAAAATTCAATTAACAGGAGAAGAAACGTACCCTTTTTTAGGATTTACAGCAATTGCATAGGGTTCTCCTGCGATGTTGGTGAGGAGTCGTGTGCAGTTGGGTCCATTAATTTGCCCAACATTTATGGAGTATCTCAGTCTTGTCCAATGAGTGGTGTAATAGCTAAACCAGTGCATTCGGGAGTGATCCGTCCAATAGATATTCCCTGACACCCAATCCACAGCTACATCACGGGGTCTTTTGAACTCGGGACACTAAAAGAGAGAAAATGTTAGGAGACAGTTTCCCTTTCATTGTAAGTGATAGTATGGCTAGCTGTTGAGTCTTGATTATTCCTACTAAAGTTTCACAAAGATTTGATAATTTCATGTAACTGGGATCATCATAGATAAACAAACCTAAGTAATATATAGAGTGTATCTAAAGTTATACCTTTTCTTTTTTTTTTTTTTTTGTACATCATAGAAAAATAGTTAAAACCAGTGTGGATTTATATTGCATTAGATAGATTTTCCTTCACATTATGTCCAAAATGAGGGAAACCATCACCAGAATAAGCATCCCTATTGAAAGATATTCCCTCTTGCTGTTTTCAAAATTTTTGATTTTATCCCTACTTCCCTCCCACATCCTCCTCGACACCATTCCATCCAAAACTAGAAAAAAAAAAACAAAGTGTTGGCTTTAGATACACTTTAAGGCACACCAGAGTGCAGCAAAAATCCCTGTTATTTTAGTATAAGGTTCCTACGCTGTCACTAATACAGCTTGTCCTACACCATCAAGCTGTGTCTAAGGGCTGCTGCTCTCTCTCTAAGAGAAAAGGTTCTGCTGTAGTGGTCCAACCAGGTCCAGTAAAAGAGAGGTAGAGCCAGCCTTCCTGTACCATAAGTTCAGCAGTGGGTATGGGGGCAGAAAGGTAACTATTTCATGATTTTTAGACACAGGAGAAGTAATTCTCCATGCCATGGCTTCTGACAATATAAAGTCCTTTTTTCTTTTTATCAATTCACTGGGGCAAGCCGGAATGTTAATTGTTTGGAAATACACCATGGAGGATTACTCCACCTGAGCCTGATAATCATTGAATAGTCCCTTCTTTGCTGAAATGTATGTGCTGCTTTGCTGTGTGACCCACTTCTGTATGTAATAGTATTGACCCCTACACTCTGTACATTACCCATTCCTGACCCCTACACTCTGTACATTACCCATTCCTGACCCCTGCACTCTGTACATTACCCATTCCTGACCCCTGCACTCTGTACATTACCCAGTCTTGATCCTTGCACTATATACATTGCCCACTACGTATCCCTTCACTCTAAACTTTACCCACACCTGATCCCTGAACTATGCACATCACCCAGTCCTGACCCCTACACACTATTCATTACATACTCCTGAAACCTGCAATCTGCAAGTTTCATACTCCTAACTCTTGCACCCCTGAGCTGTACAGTACTTACTCCTGACCCATACTTTTGACCCTTTCACTCTGTATGGTACATAGTTCTGACACCTATACTCTGTACATTACCTTCTCCTGACACCTGCACTCTTTATGTTACATTCTCCTGACACCTTTACTCTTCAAGTTATGTACTCTTGACACTGCACTCTGTGTATGGCATACATTTGACCCCTGAGCTCTCTATATAGACTCTAGTATTAAACCCCTCCCACTATTTGCCATAACCAAATTTCTCACAGCACACCTGCCCATTTTTCTCTGAGTGAGAGACGGGAAGTTTTTGGGCCCTGAAGAACATGAACGTTGTAATCTAAATGTGCTAGAATAAGCTGTTCCTTGCATATAGAAGCATAGGTCATATTCCCTTTAAAAGATACCTTGCTGTATTACCACAGTGTGCAGTGCTCTCCATCACAATCATTAAGAAAACTGTCATAAAAGAAATAATTAGGTTGCCACTGCTGACCTATTTGATAAATGGTCACTGCTGTGCTGATCTTCGAGTTTCACTACATTTTCAGTCTTTGGTCTGGTAGAAGTGTGCAGATCTGGAGTTTTGACATTCTGCTGCTTGCTTGCTCAGGGTAATTGATTTAAAAAAAAATGCAGATGCCAGACAGCCAGCATTTCCAGGCAGTCCATAATGGAAGGCGACACAAGAGGTGTTATTTAGGCCTAGTTATCTGGAAATCATGGTCCATTGTCTCCCCTAGATCTGGCTAACCAACTATAATCCACACCCCCCATAGACCCATGGGATCTTTACTGGGATGCTAGAAACCAACACTGGCGCAGTACAGTGAAGCATCTAATTAGCTAATTCATTTTGCTAACTATCAAAGTCAGTATTTTACACACTGCTCTAAACAACACATTTAGCACCTATGTCAATGGGTTTAACATTCCCATACAAGTTTTATTGTTGGAATGCAAAACCCACTTTAAGCATGTCAAATGCAAGTCGGAAGGAGGTCACTGCAGGTCAAATGCACCTGTCAATGAATTCTGAATGGTCTCAGAAGCATCAATACCTGATGTTCAATGGGTGCAATCAGCACAAGCCCAAAACCCATTGACATCAGCCCTAAAATAGACCTCAGGGTGACAAATACATGCTGTAGAATTCTAAGCAGATTCCCACACTCACAATCAATCCACTCTTGGTTTCTTTGCCTGCCCTGCCATGAAAGGTGTTGTAGAAAATTCCTCCGGGGTTGAACTGAGTGCTCCAAATGATCATGTTGCCCTGGAGGTAGGTGTCCATCCCAGTAATCCTAGAATTGTGTGCAATGCGGGATATTTGCTGGTATTCCACACTGTAGCCAAACGGATGTCTGAAAGCTAGGATCTCGGTGTCATTGGCCACGTAGAGAATTTGTTCCTCTGAATCTGGAATCATAAAAGATACTCAGTTCAGTTCTCATAAGATCAATAGGAAAGGATCCTGAAAGAGTAAATGTCCAAAGGAAAATGTGAGAGGAAAACAATCTATAAGACTGGAGTGAATCTAAACTCAGAGGGGGTTACTGAATTTGGAGAGTGCAAAATCTGGTGCAGCTCTGCATAAAAACCAATCAGCTTCCAGGTTTTATTGCCAAAGCTTAATTGAACGAGCTGAAGTTGGGAGCTGACTGGCTACCACCATGCACAGCTGCACCCGATTCTGAGTGCTCCCGTTTTAGTTAATTAACCCTAAAATTCATAGCCAAATCTTTTTTGTTGTTGTTTATATCCCTACTGAGGAGATCTCCTTTCACTCTTGGTCTTAAAGATACAACAGGAATAGGGAGGATGCCCCTATTCAAAGATTTGCCTTTTATCTCCTGTTCTGGTGGCTCCTGTAACATTTTGATCTGTCTCTGGGACACTGGTCACAAGGACAAATAAAGAGAGAGAATATTCAAATGGGAAACAATAAAAAAACAACAATTTCAGAAAGAAAAATCAAATCTGATGATGCTACTAGCAAGCTTATATATTTCAACTATGGTATTGTCCAATGCACATGCTGGCATATTCTGCCATAGTCACCATAGTAAAACTGTAACATTCAGCAGCTGCTTGAATGTGCACATTTGAAGTTCATACAAAATGTCTACAGGATGTGCACAATGAACAAAGAGAAATGAACAAAGGAACGGGAAAAATATGTAAAATGTAACCAAAAATAATGTGATCCCGTATTCTTTTCTGAGAGTCTTGACCGCTTTGTATTTACTTCAATAAATACAAGGCACCCTCAGATTGAACAAGATAGAAAAGGGGGGTGTCACAATCTCTACCTCCTCCAGTCAGAGAACGCTTTGTATTCTTTGAATAAATACAAGGCTTTTTATGATTGACAGCAATGATGAGCAAGTGTCTTGCTGTGGTCAGTTTGCAGTGGGACAGCCAATCGCATAGACCTGGAGCAAGATTTGGAAGATTGCACCGATTACTACAGTGATTTCCAGCTTCCCCAGTGATCCATCAGGTATGAGTAATACATACTTAGACTGTATGAAGCTGGATCAATGTAAATACAAATAATTCCTGTAGTTCAACTTTAATAAAGGATACATAAAGAAAAACATTTTGTAGACATATTTTTCCAATTTACAAAAATGTTAGGCCTAAACAATCATGTCACTAAAAACACCGTCTTAATTTCTGAAATTTTAGACATTTCTGAAATATGTCTCCTTGCTACCCAATCAGTCCAGCCATGTGTTTCAGGCATGAACAATCAAGCTACTAAGACATATACAGGAAGGGCTCCTGCCTTGAACTCTGTGCTGGGGGGAGGGCATCCGTGCCGGGAGCCTCTTTCCTCTGCATTGTCCTGCCTGTCCTCCATCCAGTTCAGCTATCTTAGGACCAAAAGTGGTAATTGTAATGCCATTGGATAGTGACTTTGTTTCTGTACCCTGTGCCAGCCTGGGCATTACACATGGCTATGTGCATGCTCCATCCACCTCAGCTTGGTGGTGGAGGCACACTTTGGCATCTTTGCCTTGGGCACCAAACAAACTTGTCCTGGCATTGCTGACAATGGAAAAACATCATTAGTTGGGTCATGCCTGGATGTTAAACCATCTTGTGATGTTTATAGACAAATGAAGGGGGTTGCATTTACTACAGACAAATAGACTGTGCACTTTTCAAGTACAGCTGAACTCAATTTCCCCAGAGCGTAGTAAATGCTGTAAAGCTCTTCTGATTTCCATCAGTCAACCACGGTCAAGCAGGGGTGGACTGACCATTTGGGAACTTGGGTACTGCCCGAGGGCCCGGGGTCAGTAGGGGGCCCCATGAGATGCCCCTGGTACCTTTCATAGGCTTTTTTGGGTGTGATTTATTTATTATTTATTTTATTTATTTCAGGTACTTATATAGCGCTGTCAATTTACACAGAGCTTTACACATATATATATATATATATACACACACATATATATATATATATATATATATATATAACATTCACATCAGTCCCTAACCCTCAAGGGGTGTACAATCTAAGGTCCCTAACTCACATTCATACATACACATATTAGGGCCAATTTTAGACAGGATCCAATTAACCTACCAGCATGTCTTTGGAGTATGGGTGAGGACACAGGGGCCCCATGATCCCCTATTGCCCGAGGGCCCCATGAAGTGTCAGTCCGCCCTGCGGTCAAGCTACTGTAAATGTTGTTATCTTATTTTCCTTGCTATTGACTGGGTATTCTTTACAAAGTGAAGTGACACCTCATTTAGATTTAATAAGGAAAATAATGCAACTGCAGTTTCAAAGTGCACAGTCTATTTGCCTTTAGTAAATCCACCCCAAGGTCTTCTGCATCTAAAGGAAGTAAGAGTATTTTTTTTTATAGGGTATTGGGGGTAATACAAGCATCTGATAAACAAAGTAAAAAATATATATAAAAATATATATATAAAAAATAAAATATATATAACAAAAAAAATATTAATATTTGTGAATTTGGCATGTTTTGCATTCAACTTCAAATATCTGAAACTGAACTTTTCAACACAAGTGCAGCCCATGGCAACCACATCAATTGCTACTCCTCTGGTTGGTTGCTCTTCTGTACTGAATTTGTTCAATTGTTTTCCAGAGCAAAAAAATCTGGAAAGCTATGAAAGAGGTACGCAGTCAAGCCTGAGATTACCAGTCTTTGCTAAAAAAAAAAGTCATATATTTTACATTCTCTTTTTGAAAGTTGTTTTAGTTTACCTTTAACAATGCAGCTGTGGCCTCGTTCTATGAAGTTCCTGTCACAAGTGCATCTGTAGGAGCCTTTCAAGTTGGTGCAGTGGTGGGAACAGCTCTCCAGGAGTAAGCACTCATTGATATCTGCAACACAAGGAACTCGGCATGGTGGGTATCAAAGGAATTTGATTTAAAGCTTTATTGTCACAGGAGAGATGTCTGTGTTTTCAAGCTGCAGCACACGGCTTTCTTTATTAAGAAAAAAAAATAATAATGAGTGAATGAACTATAAGAGCATGTAACTGACAAAAGAAATGTACATAGAGCATTGCTTGAATTGCTTGCCAAGAGCTGAAATTCCAGGTATTCACTGAACAGAGACTTCAGATTACAGAACACAAGTCCCTTTATAATATTATTCTTGTATTTCTCAGCAAACAATGATCAGATGTATTTGGTCTAAACCAGGGATCTGCAGATTACGGCCCATGGGCCACATCTGGCCACCTTTCAGAACTTACCTAGACTGCAACAACTCTTTCAGTATTTATTTAATGCATTTCTATGGTGTTGGTGGGGCAGCTGCCAGCAACAAAAGCAACCAATGAATCTGAGCAATCAGGACATCAAGCTATTGTAGACTACTGCCCATCCGCACCATTTATTTATTTCAGGTACTTCTATAGCGCTGTCAATTTACGCAGCGCTTTACATATATATTGTACATTCACATCAGTCCCTAACCCTCAAGGGGTGTACAATCTAAGGTCCCTAACTTACATTCATACATACACATACTAGGGACAATTTAGACAGGAGCCAATTAACCTACCAGCATGTCTTTGGAGTGTGGGAGGAAACCGGAGTACAAGTAGGAAACCCACGCAGGCACAGGGAGAACATGCAAACTCCAGGCAGGTGGTGCCATGGTTGGGATTTGAACCGACGACCGAGTACTGCCAGGTGGAAGTGCTAACCATTTAGCCACTGTGCTGCCATGGAAACAAATGACACTGATCCACAGCAGTGGCATCCAGGGCCACCCTGGCATTCAGAAACGGCTTCTCTGCCTCCCATGCTGTGCTGTGATGTCATTATGGTGAAGATTGCAAGGCAGGGGTCTAATGACTCTGATGTTAAAGGGGACTCTGATCTGAAGGGCAGATTCCAATTTGAGGTGAGCTCTGATGTGAAGGGGTTCTCATGTAAAAAGGGGCCTTTGATGTAAAGGATAGGATCTGATGTGAATGGGAATCCTCAAGTGCAGGGGGTATTTTGAAGGGGGGACTCTCATATGAAGGATGTGAAGGACAGACTTTAATGTGAATGGAGCAACCCTCATGTGAAGAGGGGATCTGATTTGAATGGGGGGGGGGCTCTGATGTGAAGGGGCCCTGATGTGAAGGGGGGATCTGATTTGAATGGGGGAGGGCTCTGATGTGAAGGGGGCCCTGATGTGAAGGGGGGATCTGATTTGAATGGGGGGGGGCTCTGATGTGAAGGGGGCCCTGATGTGAAGGGGGGCTCTGATATGAAGGGGAGGCTCTGATGTAAAAGAGGGAATTTGATGCGAAGGTGGGGAGCACTGATGTAAAAGGGGGCCTCTGGTGTATAACAAGGAATCTGATGTGAAGGGGGGGGGGTCTTGGATGTGAAGATGAGGCTGTGATATGAAGGTGAAGCTCAGGTGTAAAAGGGGGCCTCTGATGTAAAACAAGGAATCTGATGTGAAGGAGGGGCTCTGATGTAAAACAAGGAATCTGATGTGAAGGGGGGGCTCTGATGTGAAGGGAGGGCTCTGATGTGAAGGGGGAGGGGCTTGGATGTGAAGAGGAGGCTGTGATATGAAGGGGAAGCTCTGGTGTAACAGGGGGCCTCTGATGTAAAAGAGGAAATCTAATGTGAAGAGGGGGGGCTCTGATGTGAAGGGGAGGCTTGGATGTAAAAGAGGGAATCTGATGTGAAGGGGGGGGGGCTCTAATGTGAAGGGAAGGCTCTGATGTAAAAGAGGGAATCGGATGTTAAAGGGGGCTCTGATGTGAAGGAAAGGCTCTGATGTAAAAGAGGGAATCTGATGTGAAGGAAGGAGTCATGTGAAGAGTGGGCTCTGATGTGAAGGGGGGACTCTGAAGTGAAATAGGGGCTCTGATGTGAAATGGGGTCCCGGGTGTGCTGGGGGGCTTCACATGTGAAGGTTTGTCTTGGAGTCTGTTTTTTTCAGCCCACAAATATTTGTGGAATATACAATGTGGCCCTTGTGTTTGAAGACCCGTGATCTAAACAAGGCAGGGCAGTTTGTTTGAGTGTATGTATAAACATTTGTTAGTTCTGGACACAGTAGGGAAGAGCTGGAGCCCTTTGGTGCTTGTGTCTCCATTGAGTAGATTCACCCTCTTGGTGACCGTTGTCACCAGATCAGACAGTGATAGGAAATTCTAAATGTTACAGTTATCACCGACACAACTGTTCAGGGGAAAGCTTGTTGGAACTGTTTCTAGAGAGAACCATCGAAGAGAGGAAGTACATTTTCAATGTTCTTTGAAGCCTCAATTTTCAGAGATTTCCTCTTAGTTGGACCTGATCGGAAAGCCCCTGTGAAAGGGGCCTTATTGTCCTCTGTAACTTATTTTTGTTCATATTATGTCACATTTTTGTATTTTACCTCTTTAGGCCCAATACAAATTTTGAAACAGAATAAGGATCAAGCAAGGAAGGAATCAGATGTGTGTAAATGTAAAAATCAAAAGTCAAAAAATAAATCGGATAGCGTTTAGTTGGACTAGAAGGACGTCTTAATAATGGGCCTTATTGAGACATAGTTGAAATCAAATAAGAAGATACAAGAGAACAGGAAGAGGTTGAATGTTTTAGCTAATTGGGAAACAAGCAACAGCTGACGGCAAATGAACAGATTGTGACAGAACACGATCTTAGGGAAAGGCTGGAAGGATAAGAAGAGGTGATGAGACAAGGCTTCATCCTCTGAGCCCGATTCAAAAGCAGAGAGGGTGCATCAGTAATCAGTTGCTGAATGCAAGCTGGGAAGGCAAATTAATTGTCATCCGACTGTCTGTCTCCTTGTGTCAATTTAAGCCCGGAAACAGCAGGCAAGTTATTAGACAGTGAGGTCAGTAGAGAATGCCTGAAATGCAGGGCTGAGCAGTGAACTGAAAGATTTTAAGAGGTGTTCAGGATTAGATGACAAAGAAGAAATGATTGTTTGATAAGGGCCAGGGCAAAGCTGCAGAAGCAGAGGCTGGTACGAGAGCAAGATTTCTTATTAAAAAAAAAAAAAAGCAATGGGTATTGAAAGCAAAACTAGTTTGGAAGTTACATTATGTAGGGCAGATGGAAATGACTGGTTATAATGTCTTATGTCCTCCTTATGAGCCAAGAGACAGTTGACATCAGGATAAAAAAAACTGAATTAGAGAATCTGGCAAAATTGTGAGGATACATTAAATGGTAATAAACCCAAAAGCAAACATTTATTCTGCAGCTTACCACCTCTTAGATGTGGTCGCTGCATTAGTTTTATTTGTTAGGCTTTCTTTCTTTTGTTTTCATCTGGTTTTTACCTCCTCAAACTGCCCATGTGAAAGAGGACTTAGAGGAATATGGCAGTGGCCAGAAATGACACTTAATGATCTTAATTGAGATAAGTACACACTATATAGGGGTATGTCTTGTTCTTATTTCATGTCTTAGGTTTACAACCTCTTTAACTGTTTCATATCCTGTTAAACACTCTACCTGCAATGTCAAAAAGTAAGGGAAAATCTCAAAATTTTGAAAACTCACCTTAAAAACTTAACCTAAGAAAAATAGAATGGAATTCTTTGATGGGGACACTTATTCTGGTGGTGATTTTCTAAGGAGTTTTCCTGACACCAAGAGAAAAAAGGTGATGGGGTAGGGACTTCCAGCAGATTGACAGCCTCAGCTCGGTTCCTGTGTGCTGTGTGGAGGGGGTTGTGACTGTCAGGGCAGGAACGATGGAATGGGCAGGCAGGCCTATGGTACGGTCACACCGCGACTGACGACAGCAACTACCCACAGACCAGAGTCCCTCAGGGTGCGGAGTCTAAGCCCCAGGCTACCCTTCACCAGGGCCCCTGATGGTGGGGATGGACTTGACGCAGCCTGAGACCAGGTCGCGGTCCCCGAGTGACCCCAGCGGCGGTAACGACTGCCGCCAATGGGTTCAGCAACGGGAGGTCAAGTAAAGGGTCAAAGCAGCGAATAGTCTTGTCCAAGCCGAGTCGGTTACCAGGAGAGCAACGGGGACAGCACAAGCGCTTGAGACAAGGGAACATACAGGACATGAATGCAGAGGGCACTTGCAGACAGCAGGTTTAAATGTGCTCAGCCACACCCTTCTGAGAAGGAGCCGCAAAAGCCTGAAGGCATAAAGGTTCCCACCATGCTTTGCAGAAACCCAAGATGGATGCCAGCACATGGAGATGCACAAGAAAGGTAGGACCTTGACAGTAACCCTTCCTTCCAGTCAGCTCTCAGAGCTCTCCTCACTTAAATAACTTCAGCTCCACTCCCACTGCTTTTCAGAGCTCAGAGATCCTGTGTACATTCTGAACTTTGAATAGATGTAGGGAAAAGGTGGCCTAGATAAACCAATACAACGTATGTAGGAAGATTTGTTTGATATCTGTGTATCACCTGAGGACAGTCACTTCACTGGGTATATGTACGGGTTTACAACCACTTTAAGTCTGACTTCAGAGGCAAAGAAAAGGATGAGGGTTTCTGGCAGATATTTTACATTTGTTTTAACATGACTGTGTCACAGAATGTATTGCCTTGTTTACAAGAGACAAGTAGGTGGAACAAGGGAAAAGTTTGAAAAATGTTGGAAAATCACTTGTGGGAAGTTTGGTTGAAGGATTCAGGACACGGAAAAACCCTACTGGTTAGGAGTAGACTTTGCTACTACAATCAAGACAAGACACACAAGGAAGGAAGGTCCTCTACTCTCTGCTGATTTCATCTGACACTTTGCTGTCATTCTAGACAAAAAACAATCCAGGGTCAAGCCTGTGCCAAATTTGACCAATCTCGTAAATTGGGGTAAAACTTACAACCAACGTTTATCCTATTTAAGATTGTGGAGTGTTGGATTAGCCCCT